AGGCAACAATCGTCGGGAAAACGTGGGAAGTTAGGAAAGGACACGACGCGAGGCGGGCATGATTTACGCACGACGCATCAAATGTACGCGCCGTCTGCGAGAGGTCGAGCAAAAGCATTCTTAAAATTTGGTACAATCCGACGACACGCCCATACCCACCCATGTCGGAACTTACAAAAGAAGTCCATTCGGCTCCGCGTTCATGGCATGAGCCAGCAAGCGTGTCGAAAGCGTGAGGTACATCGGTCCAATTCCCACCAGACACCATGCCATCCTGCCTCGAAACTCCCTCGGGATGATGCCGTGGGCTCGCAGGATCGGCTTTGCGAGTCTCAAGATCATGTTGATCTCCTCCGGATCCTCATCGATCGCTTCAGCGAGATCTTCCGGTCACAAGAAGTGGCTGAAGGTTTCGGCCCAAATCATGCGATGCCACACCGGTTTGGACGCCAGTTCGTCAAACCTGGAGGATGAGGAACGGGGACAAAGGGTCGTTACTTTCCTTGCGAACCATGGATGTTTCAATCACAAGCGAAGGAGGGCCGCATCCTACATGCAACACGCGAACCTCAGCACGTGCTTCGACGTTTTAGTGGCTCTTCGTGCGAGACGGATAAATGTATGGCTAACCCTAACCCTGCGTCTACTGCTTCACTGACCTCTGAGCTTCCCGTTCNCCCACCAGACACCATGCCATCCTGCCTCGAAACTCCCTCGGGATGATGCTGTGGGCTCGCAGGATTGGCTTTGCGAGATTCAAGATCATGTTGATTTCCTCCGAATCCTCATGGATCGCTTCAGCGAGATCTTCCGGCCACAAGAAGTGGCTGAAGGTTTCGGCCCAAATCATGCGATGCCACACCGGTTTGGACGCCAGTTCGTCAAACCTGGAGGATGAGGAACGGGGACAAAGGGTCGTTACTTTCCTTCCGCACCATGGATGTTTCAATCACAAGCGAAGGAGGGCCGCATCCTACATGCAACACGCGAACCTCAGCACGTGCTTCGACGTTTTAGTGGCTCTTCGTGCGAGACTGATAAATATATGGCTAACCCTAACCCTGCGTCTACTGCTTCACTGACCTCTGAGCTTCCCGTTCTTCAGACGACTCTCCCTCCCCGGTCGCCCCGGCTCCCTCCTGGGGCGGTGTGCTGGACTCGTCGACGCCCTCCACGACGCCACGCACAGCTGCGAGGGGAAGCCCCTCTTCTTCATCGTCGGAGGCTGCATCCTCTTATGGTGTATCCTCACCGGGGTCGCCGCGGTTCTTGGGTTGTACCACACCCTCGCCCTCGGATGAGCAACTGGACCGGTGTTCCTCTGGCGCGTCAGACACCTCACACACCGCCCCCGCGGATGGCCTGTCGGACGAGGTGTCGCTCGCGCCACCACGCGGGGGGGCGGATGGGCTGTCGGACGAGGTGTCGCTCACNCGCCCCGGCTCCCTCCTGGGGCGGTGTGCTGGACTCGTCGACGCCCTCCGCGACACCACGAACAGCTGCGAGGGGAAGCCCCTCTTC